CCGAGCCCCAGAGCCCGAGCCCGCTCTGCCCCGGGGCCGCGCCGCGCTGAGTCACCCGAGCCCGCGCGCAGCGCCGCCGCGAGCCGCCCTGGCGGGGGCTGACTCGCACGTTACACTGGCTTCACGCGTGGGCCCTCGGCGCTGCCAGCCTGCCAAAGAGGAAGTTGTAATCTTGCTAGGAAAGGAGGCAAAGAACCGTCGTTCTTCCTGCCTCAGAAATTCAGAGGTTAATACTTGAGTGCTCTGTCAGGGTTTTTGTTATCCCGATCTCCTTCCAGAGCAACAAGCGTGCACCTCACAGTGTAATGCACTGTGCACGCTCAATATTCAAGAAACTAAATGGGTTAAATCTCCTGTCATTATTCAAATAAGCCAAGCATTCCTTTATTTAATCAGAGAACAGAGGCCAAATCGCAGCTGTATCGTTTGAATGCCACTGCTTTGGTTTCTTGCATTATTAAATAATCCTGTGCAGAGCTGTAGGCAATATTAATGCTGAATTTAAATAGACATTTGAAAATTTTTTATATTTTGCAAAAATAATTATGTCATATTTTAAAATACATAGATTAAGTATTCAAAAATTATATGCCCTGGCAATTCCATATCCAAATATTCTCATTATAATTTTGTGACCAAACCTGTCCTACTACTACAGTTGCTTCCAACTGAAATCCATTTCTCACATCCAGTACTGGGGAAAAAGCGTCACTACAAAGTATGAATGATCCTCTTTCCATCTGGCGTTGAAGCAGGTTAACTGATCTTCCTCTGGATCACGCTATATCCAAATATTGTCAGGGTGGCTAAAATGCTCCCCATTGAGAAGACTGTCTGCAAAAAAATGCTGATTATGTGCCTAAATAATAACCACCCTACTACATTATAAACACCACCGCTCTGGCTCATCACTTGTGTAAACCAACTCCTTACTGCTGCAGCAACCAACATTAACGTTGGCCTCCTCCCTCAAGGGATGTGAATTCTAGTTAATCTTAACATTTCTTTACTACGAAATCGGTGATTCTGCAGTGATGAACAGGCTTTAAAAGAATGCACCTCTGTCTAGAAAGTAAAGACAAGTATCACCTCATTCTACTCTTTCAGTTGAACTGGCCCGTTTAGGTGCAGCCTCCTGTTGGAGGCCTGCTGAGGCTAGTGGGAACTCATCTGTCCCCTCTAAACACCAGTCCTGCATTTGTAATAAATAGAGACACGATGGAAAAACAACTGATGGAAGAAGAAGAAAGGGAAGGGGAGGTAATGGTACCAACTCGGATAGAAATACGTCTGATTGATCAGTGATTGCCAACCCTTTTTATATTTGCATCTCAGTTGGACCACTGTACCTTCCCTTCTGCCCTACTTCTTCAGAAATGCTGCCTCTTTGCCTCTGCTCCGACTCCTAGAGCAGTTCTCTGATCTTTCGGCCCTTGCCCCCTTCCCAGGCAGCTCCAGTGGTGTGAGCACAGACACCTGGCGGATGAGCTCAGCACACGTCATTAGCCTGGGCTCTACTCCGTGCTGTTAGTATCTGTTCACCTCACCAGTTCCGAATACAATTCCCAAGTATCTTATTCCAAAACAGCTATTAGCCCAAATCGGTCATTTTTGTACTGGACAATATTCAGTGCTAGTTGTGTTAAATACTGAGTAAGCATGAAGAAAGAGATGTATCTTAACTTGAAATGCCTTAAGGTGATTACTAATAATAGGGAAGAACTGAGTGGAAGCCAACAGTAAGAGTATTTACCACATTTCTGCAGTGCTTGCAGTTACTTTTTTTTAAAACTTAAAAGTATCTCTTAAGAACAACTGATGCTTTCTGACTCCAGTTATTCTAGTCTTCTGTTGTAAAGTACTGAGGATGAGTACTTCAGGTTTGACTTCTACTTTACATTTTAATAGCTGAACAATAATCGAGTTAATAACTGAGTTAATATAGGCATTAATCTAAATAATTAGGGGAAAATACCTCGTTTTGTCGGTGTGGGGCTGTTGCTTTGAAGGAAGAGGTTGGTTAAGTAAAGGTCGAAAGTGTGAATCTGAGTAACCACCTCACTTTCTTCAGCTCTTTTACTTCAGAATTTTCAGAGTTAAATGCATGGAGGAGACTTGCTTCCTATTTGGAACAACAGAAAAAAACACCCCTAACTAAAATTCCAAAAGCAAACATTTCCAGTTTCAAGAAAACGTGTATTTTCAAGCCTCAAAAATGAGAACAACATAGGTTTACTATGCTTGAAAACCCTGTATCACCCTCCCCATACAAAGGCTATTACCCTCATATAATTCTAAATAAATCAACAAATGTTAAAGAAACAGTAGGTTACAGAAGCATCCAGCAAATTAGATGAATAACATGGATGGGGCAGGATTATTTTATTTACAGTCACATTTCCTGCTAACTAATAAGTCATCAGAAATGCAAAGTGATCATTAATGTACAGATTCTGATACTTGAGTACAGCTCTCTAAAACCGACCTATTTTGAATGCTAGCTTAGTATGATGAAAACGTTTTCCTGATGATTGTTAAAGCAGTCATCTAACTTGCACCACGGTAACTCCAGTCTAATAAAGAGCACGCCCAGAAAAAATAAAATACAACATGCTACATGTAGCATGGAAGAAATTTTCATTCAATCCTAAATTCAGTCAGCCTTAAACACCATAAGATAACTTGCAGAATATTTGAAGATAATACAAAACCTTGCTATAATCAGTTTTCTGCAATGAAAATTACCATGCTTCAGGTAGCAGCATGAGCTGAGTGTCTAGTACACAAAATAATGGAGTCTACTGCAGAGAAGCAAGTTATCTGCAAGCCAGCTCAGTTTCTGGGGGTTGGGAGCAGTGCTGTGCAAATGCAGCTGTCCCACTTCTGAACTTGAGCCCCAAGACACTTTGCCATATTGTGCTAAGATGCAGTCAACAGCATCACTTTGCTCTGTTAACCCTGCTTTACATGTTCTTCCTGCCCAGCTTACATATATGCACATATATAATTCCTTTCTCCAAACTTTGCTCTTTAGGTCAGCCATTGCCATCATCTCATTGACTAGAAAGGCGCAGCATGTGTTGTGGCTGGCTGAGATTTATGTACAGTGACTAGATAGCTGGTTGTTCACTTTCTCAGTGGGAACACTAATTTAGGTATTTCTCACCTTCTAGTCATCCCTTTACAAAGATTATTTTCATATCAGCATTGTGAAATGTCTGTTCTTCTGTTGCATTTGGATGAATGGACAAACACATGCAAAAGTTATTGGGGTGAGATAAAGAGAGACTGTGGTCCTATAAGCCTCCTTTCCTTAGGAAACTAGGCTAAAAGTCAGAGGAAGTCCTTCTCTTTGAGCCTGATAAAGAAACAAAACCCAAACAGGCCGCTTCTTTCTTTTCCTTTTCTGAAAGTGTCCTTGGAGACCTCATTGCTTTATCTTCTGTTGGACTAGTTGAAATTCAGGGGAATACTCAGTGCGACTGTGTGCATATATTGGAAATCCTGCCAAATGGCCATACCAGCATACTACCAGCTACCATGCACTTTGCCCCCAAAAGCTTAGACATGTGTAAATCTGTCCTAGTCAAGATCATGCCTACAACCATATTCTATAGGCATACAGAACCTTAAAACAAAAAAGCCCCCACAAGCTCATTCTTTGTTCTATTTCTGTTTAAATGCTTGTTTAGACAGATTAAGGATACAGCTTATTATTTATGTAAACTGGTTAATGCATTTTATTTATGTTTTATATAAACAGTTAACACTAACAAAACACATTTTTTCTTTAGCATCAACAACTTTATATCGCAGCGATCTGTAAGTTGTTACTACTACTTCCAAGGCCAAAAGGGTCCCTCAACGTAAGCGGAGAAAACGCAGAGCTAAGACTTCTCATTTTAACAGACCGAATAATCTCTGCTGTAAAATCCTTAAAACCTCGATTACATCAGAGATGAATTAGTCCCTGATGGGTGAATTATAAGTGAAACTGGTCCTCCACTATTAGCACATTTTAAAGAACAGCAATAACATACTAGGCAACAAGTTAAAAAAAAAAAAAAAACCTCTCCTGAAAACACTAGTTGCTACAACGTTCCACAGTCAGCCCAACAAAGAAAACATACAGGAGCATTTTATGTACAACAATGGCTGCAAGCTTTTAGTACAAAACTCAGTTTAGCATTACAATGACCCTGTACTCACACTTTGAGCTGCTCAGCTTATACTGTAATAAAATAATTAACTAGATGTGACACTGTGATTAAACATCACTTTGTATTGTATAGTTTACAGGATGTTAAATTGGAAAAAATATTGTCAGAATAGATTTTGAAGGCGAAACAAACGGAAATAACCATTTCTTGCAAAATATACAGCGATTTATGCATTAGCTCTATTTAAATATAAGATTCTCATTGGATTAGTCCAAATGTTAGATTAAAGCAACTTGAATTTTACCAGGCAATAAAACATTGCTCACTAAAAAAGTGCGATTGTATTAGAAAGATCTGAACAGGTAGCAAAAGTGTTTTCAGAAAGGGTAATAGCCCTGAAATAACCAGCTTTTAATGCTCATTAATTGTACTTTTAGCCTCCAATGTTTGAAACGACTCTCAAAGTAACCATTCTTCTATTTTTCTTCCAATGATATCAAACTAATCTACAGTTACTTGGGCTATTAATTTTACACTTTTTAAATACTAAATTCTTTTGGTATCTTCTAGTTCTTGAAAAATTGTCCAGGTTCCAAGATTTGTTAAAATTATCAAACATTTGGCCCTCCTCAACTAGTTTAAAATTTACCGCACAGATTTACCCAGATTCATTAATCTGAAATGTTCTAATTTTTGACAAAACTCTCTGAAGAGTTTTGTCACCTTTAGATGTACGTGTCTGTTTGCTTCAAGGCCTGTTTTGCATAAGATAAAGGAGCTATATCTCAATGCTACTCAAAGTTAGGACCCCATGCTTTGGTTATGTCCTTTCTTAGCATGGGACATGAAATTTCTTTCCTCGTGCTTCTGCTGGAAAACATAAAAAGGGCACTTAACAGTAAATATATTGAAAGGTTGAAGTGTGAAGCTAGTATTATTACAATATGATTTGAACTAAACTAAGACTGCTGCTGCCAGAAGAGTGAACTTTCACTTCCTCTCCTTATAATCTTCCTCCCTCCCAGCTTCTGACGACTTGGCTTTTGCCACTGTCCTTGACTTGGTGTTGGCACTCACTTGATTGCACGTACACTCCCTGAACTCACAAAAAATGCCAGAAAGCTAGCCAGCAGAAATGTTGTTTGCTCCCATCCCTGGTCAAACTGGCCAACTTTGTGATCACATGAACGCTAGAGGTGGCACTCTCGACAACTGTCAAACTCAGCCACGCTATGAAACTAATATTGCAAGTTTGACATTTAGGAAACCTTTGTTCCTAACCTGTACATGTGCTTAGAAAAGAAAGTCCAGCTCCAGCTGTCTACCGCCCACTGCTAACCCCCATGGGAGTTCCACATGCTCACTACTATGTAGGGTTACTAAGCTTATATAATTCCCCCCCACCCCTTCATTGATCAAATACTTAGATTGCACTTTGCTCCATCAATACTGGAGTGGAAAGCTGTGTATTACATTACACTGTTTCTGGGATCCTAGTGGTGGAGAGATCTACCAAGTGCGCGCGCCTGGGAGTGGCCCATCAACTACTGCACAGGCAGCGGGCTGTCAGGGGCAGATTAGGCTGCAGGTAGAGTTTCCATTTGGAAACGTCTACATGAAAAACTCCTATGAGTTTCTGCATGTATAGAATTACTGAATGATTCAGTTTTAGGTAAAAATAACATAGGGCTTTTAGTTTGTTGAATGTGAAATGAGGAAAGAAGTTTCATCAGGAAATTGACCAAACAGGATCCCCTAAAGATGTGAGCAGCATCCTGCTAGTCTATGTAAAAGCTAGGAATGCCACCCTTCAGAAACCAACTCTGGAATCTGACTATTGGGATTTTAAGTGTCAAAAACGCACACTAAGTTACTTCTTAGAGTTTCCATTGCCCAGGGGGAGGCTGTCACTGTAACTTCAAAGCTGAAGTTAAAATGTTGTAAACAGGAGAACATTGTGTAATTTAATATGCTGAGTAAACAGTGTTCTAGCTCTGTAATACCTACGGCTATTTGTTGAGGAAATTAGGCCCTTAATTCATGCAGAATTTTCACGTATGATATACATCAGTCAGACACACACAGCCAGGGAAACAGTGCACAACATTCAAATGGTAACATTTTTGGATTTGCCTAAGAAGATCTCAACTTCATGTTAAAGAAGTCCTTTTACATCCCAGGCACAATAATATAAAGCATATTTAAATATAGATAGCATCTTTCTAAATGTTCATCAGACACTGAGAGCAGTATCTCATATCACAATAGAAAGATATCCTCCCAATTTAGGTCAGTTTTCCAGTGAAACTTTTAGCATTTACCAGTTGGCTTTGGTTTTATATAATCATTTACTTCTTACGGTTTCTTCCTGTTGAATGACTGTCAGTAATGGGGTTAGGGGAGAAGACAGATAGGCTATTGTTAGACCATAGCGAGTCACAGGAAAAGGAAGCATGAAAAAGCTACTTTTTGTTACATAAACTTGTGCTTTTAAGGAAAACCTTTTAAATTGTTGCATTCCTATTAATTAGCATACTTTGAACTCCCTTTCAGAAAAAGTTTTTGAGGTAATCGAGCTACAGTTATTTGTAAGTTAACAATTCCTTTTAGTCTAATTTGTTTTCATACCCGGAGGCTGAAACTAATCAATTCTTCTATCAATAGGTATTTAGTACTTTCAGTATCTGAGCAGTGGTATAGCACCACCAAAAACAGTCTATGAATAGACCACCTTATTTCAGTTTACCCCGTTATTCTCACAGGACGCATTAGCTAAACCGCCATCAAGATCATCCTAGGGCACTTTATCTCAGTGTAACTCGCCAAAATCCCTATACCAGGAGAACTGCCATAGCCTCTAGTGTAGAGTCTACAACATGCTAATGCTGTTTTCCTCTTTTTTACTTAATCCAGGTTGGTAACAATCTAGGAGAGTCATATAAGATTGGCATCTGAATGAAAGTACCTGGTTGCAACCAAAATGTAGCAGAAATTTGATTGGGGAAAGCACTGGAGGAGGTGCCAAAACGATTCAGTCTTAATCTGATTTTCATGCAGTAGCGCTGGACTCCTCCAACATGAATATTTGACTAAGCCAGTGAGTACCTGCTGCTTCCATTACTGCAGACCTCACAGATGTTGTTAATGCCTCCTGCCACATGTAGCTAACACAGGAATACATTCGGGAGCTCTACTGTATAGTATGATTGAAGGCCTGAAGTGAAATATAACACTAAGAGCTAAAACAAGATGTTTTAGCTAAAACAATTTTCCACAATATTTTTTTCAGAGAGGTGATGGTCCCGAGAGCTGCAAATTCTTGAGAGGCCCCGAACCTTCCTTTATGTTTCAGCGTGCTACAGTGCAAGGCTGCCTGCCGTCTTTGGTCTTCCTGGCAGCAGGCTGCACAGAACAAACTCATAGAAATCCTTCAGTCCAAGGCATTTGATTTAGGAAATTATTCAAGTTTCCCCCATCCAGTACTCCCTGGACACAACAAAGATGGTTTGGGTTTATATGTTATATAGCCAGTGGTTTATAGATTTGTTATTTTCTTACTCAGCTGCCAAAGGTAATGCCCATGGTTCCTGAATGGTATTTATTTTGGTAGTTCTATGCAAGCTAGACTCTATAAGCCAATAAAATAAATATCTTGTCCTTCCCTAGACAAAGAGATTGTTCTTTCATCACATATCTGAAGAGTACTTACCCTTTCATTGAACATTTAGGCTTCAGATACAGGTATTCCTGGTAACAGAAATAAAGAGAAAGTTGTTTCCTACCACAGAACATCTCTTTAACCCATAATTTACAAAACCTTAATGACCAGTATTGAGTAATAGTGGGGGGGGGGGGGGGGGGGGAAGATAGTCATATGGAAAGCTAAGCCATATACATATATATACACATATATATATACACACACATATATATAAAATATACATATACACACACACATATATATACATATACATACACACACACACACACATCTATACACACATATACACATACATATGCACACACGCTTTTGTAATACATTTGAAGAAAAATGGTAGCGCCATTCCAGTATCACAGGAACATGTGCAAAAGTATCACTGCTGGCCTAACTACATGGCAGTCATGACACTCAGGGCAGAAATAATTGCCAGGCCTCCTTTTGGGGAAACCAGGAAGAGCACTGACAACCTGAGCCAGTTACGGCTTCTGCCAAGTGAAGTATAGCGTTCCAGGGAATCCTACTGGAGCTCGTAATGGTATGGTCAGTGCAGCCCTCTGAATAAAGGGCAAGTTTTGGGGGTTCTGTTTGTTTGTTTTTTGGTTTTTGTTTTGTTTTGTTTTGTTTAATCTCTGGGTACAGCTGCCAGTGAAGTATACATCACTTGCAGATCCAGAGAAAAAAAAGTAACCCATTTCAAACAAAATATGGCTTCTTGTAGAAGCCTTATGAATCCGTTGAAAAGTCATTTAGAGGTCAAAAATGATCTGAGAAGGGCAATCCAATCAAGATAATGGACCTGATTTTTAAAATGTTTTCAATACAGTTCTAAAGGAAAAAAGAGTTCCCATGGGGAAAAAGGGGATTAAACACACACTTAACATCAAAAAACAAGGTTTGGGATCAAGTGATCTGCTTTCACAATGGAAGGAACAACTCTAAAGGAAGCTGTCTGTTCAACACACTTGGAAGTTATCAGGAAAATAGGGAGAAAGTGAGGTGACAACTTTATTGACAATAGAAAATTACTCAATATATCTTAGAATCTAAGACTCACTGAAAAACTGCGTAAGGATTTCACAATACTGAGAGACTGTTCACAGCATTGTAGGAATAACCATTAGTGTGCATACACAGCAAAAAGTTGTGTATTACCTGCCATAAAAGAGGAAATAACTTAAGAGTCATTCTGGATAGTTTTCTGAGAATATCTACCTTTACAAGGAAAAAAAAAAAAAAACCACAGGTGAATCATTAGTAAATTAATAATTAGGAGGGGAGTGAATAGCACATGAGCCAACAGTACACCTGTATCTTGAATATTGAGTGGAACAACCAGATACTCCATCTCAGAATGATTATTGCAGAATTAGACCGTAGAACAAAAAGGGGTCTGGAGAGGGGCAGTCACCCTGACTAGAGGTAAGAGGTTGCTTCTGTATACAGAGAAATGAACTCTTCAGTTTGGAAAATAAAGGAATAATAGACATGAGAGTTGCATCTTAAAAGAAGGAATATATAGGGAAAGTGAATCGACAACAAGGGTTAATTATTTTTCCTAATATCAGAACTAGCGATACTTAACATTATTAGGAAGCAAGTATTAAAGAGAACAAACAAATACTTTAATAAAACATGTAATTAAATTGTAAAGCTCACTGCCATGCTATTATTAAAGGACTATAACTATTTAGACAAATCAGTAGAAAAGGGATGCATTAGTAACTAAGACAGAAAGTCACAGGTATAGAGCTAAGAAAGTATATGAAATGCAGCATTCACATGCGTGTGTGCGTGCACACATGCGGGCGCACACAATTGCATGCGTAAGTTTCTTTAATGGCACCAGTTGCTTAGGAAGACAGCATAAAAAAAACCAGCATGCTTAACTGACTGACCCTTGGTCTTTCCTAGTATGGCAGTTTTTGACAGTGTTTGCTCCCAGTTTGTTAAACCTAGAACATTATACAAAACATTTGATCAGTCTTCCCCTGTTGCCCAGATTAGATCTGTAAGATATACTCTGGGGATAAACAGTCAATAATATATTTAGCCTAACTCAAGAGTAAATCCCTCAGTACTAGTATAAGTTGTGGAATGTGTTGAGTAGCTTCCTTTGAGATTAAAAACTGAACGCCAACAAAACAGCCCCAGGTAATTTATTGATAGAGACTTGTTTTCCAATAGACTATATAAACAGATGCACTGCTCATGTCATCTTTTTCCAAAGAAACACCTAAGTTATCTTGATTACTCATGGTAACAGAGCTGTTTCCTCAACGTACAGAAACAGCAATAATTTTAGTATTCATTTAGTTCTGTTGCCTTATTCGATTAATCAGATCAGAAATAGAGGTCTGATGCTCAGAGAGAACTGGCATGTCCTAAAATGTAAAAATACAAAACCCAGCATCTCAGAGCTTATAAGACAGACTTTAAGATTACAAAAGGTCTAACACTAAACAAATAGTATCTACAGTTGATGGCATCTGCTAACAACTTTTGCAAAAACTAAATTTCACATTTTGTTTAAGTTACAAAAAAACGCATGCTATTCCAGTGACTCAGCGCAGGAGAAAACCCTACATTGTTACTGTGAGAAAGAGACAAATATAATTATAGCCTTATCAAATAAAAGAGCATACTCTTGGACACGTCCATAAAACTGTTATATTCATGAGTCTTAACACGACTAAAATGATGTAGTAGTCCAAGGCTGAAAGTTAGCTACATCTAAATAAAAATTATGCATCCAAATACATTGTTCAGGTTAGCATCTCTGCAACTCCTAAGCAAATAAATTTCTATCCTACACTAAAACTGAATGAACACCAATATCGCTCTACTAATTTCTCTTACCTCTAAGGAAAGAAACTTGTACGCTAGTCTGCAGCTAACATCAGCAACTTTAAACTACAGATGTAAATCTTCATAGGATTTTATATTTTAAAGTTTTATTCTCTAAATTATACAAACAACGTTCAACACATCTTTTCAGTATTCTCAAGTTGGTCACTGTCTTTAAAAGGTATATGAATTAGCAAGTGCACAATTAAAGCTGAAAACTTGTGCTTTTGGTCATATGAAAGTAAAAAAAAGAAAAGTGAGTGCTAATACAACTGTAACTAAACAAGACTTGAAATGTATTTTCCTTAAAAATAACGCAGGAGAAAGACAAAAATTAGAAACGAAGTACAGTTACAAGGCTAGTATTCTCAAGTCAGTGCGCAAATAGATTAAAACCAATGGAGAAATGTAAAAGCATATTCAGAGATTTTTTTGTGATCGCTTATTTTAATCCAGACTTAGAAATATATAGAACTGTTATCCTAGATTGGTTATTTTGTGGCAGCCTAACGAAAATCATATTTAATTTAGACAATAAGGGTAAATCCCCCTTCTGTGAAACCTACAGATTTGGCTTCTTGCTATTGCGTGGATACACAATAGGATTAATTCCTGCCCAATGAAAGCAACTATGTTATTCTGACTATTAAACAATATCACTAACAACAGGAAGGGCAGGAAACGGGGCTTCTTACTCTTCCTGTCAGGTAACTCATTGGAAAAATAGACCGTTACCAAACTATCCTTCTGCTGTGCAGTAAGGGAGAATGAGCTGGAAGAGAGGGGGGAGGAGAGGCACTTTCTGCACTTTAAACTGTTCTTTGCTCAACTCTGAATAACCTGATGCTAACAAGAAGAGCTTTTTCTTATTAAAAATGACTAGCAGACTTCTTTGACCTATATCTTCAGAAACATCTAATTAGCTAAGTGCTAGTAACCTAGGAGTTGTCATGTGTCACAGTGTGTAACTGACACTTCATTACACCCGGTAAGCGTGAATTAAGCCAGAAGTGGTAATATCTTGCTTTGTTTTATGCAAGCTAGTTTTCTACGTGTTACATTATTTCCCATGACTATGAATAATACTTCTGCATGCAGGTGAAAAAGCTCACCTCATTATCGTTCCAGAGATGAGAAACAGCATAGTTAGTGATGAGAAGCAACATGGTTGAGAAAAGGTGCATTGATGATAGCTTTGTATTAATGAATTATTGCCACTGTTTTACACGGGAACAAAATTGAATCTGAACAAGGACATTCAAATTTCCCCACTTATCACTACCCTTAAATTAACTTCTGTGTTGCAGACACTTTCCACTCAAAATACAACATGTTATTTATCACCAGTTCTGTTAATCGAATACAGATCAAAAACTTTATCTCAGAAAATACATAAACTGGGCCTCAATCATCCAAAGAAACGCACTTTCTCGAGACTCTACTGGATTAGTTCTCTGGCCCATTTATTACTTTTGGGGGTCTTTTTAAATTACTTTTCTGTTTGTTTGTTTGTTTGTTGCTGATGATTAACAATGAAAGCTTCTAACTGAACAAGCAACATTTCTTTTAATTCTAGCCTGGAAGAGTTGTGACTCTTGTTGAAGACCCTGAGGTACAGTACTATTGGTTTATTTATAGTATTTAATCTATAGTGCACAGAAAGTCCTAATGCATTCCAAACGTGTGTAGTAAGTCTCCATTTTTTTGCTTCTTCTTAAGCAAATAATTGAATTATCTTTACTGCTATCGGAAGTTCTCTCAGAATTCCATGGAGTTGCATCAATGATTCTTGGCTGTTCCAAATAAATCAATCTATCTAAATTAAGCAACTAGAAGTACTTTGGGTCTGTTATTACCAAAGGTATGTTTCTGAGCATTTTCCTGAATAGCCACTGCAGCTATCCTGTTATTAAAAAATGCAGAATTTTACTTTCAGCACACCTATAATCGAAGATGTCCCAATATTAGATAGAAGTTGCATCAGAACCATAATCTTGCCTGCCTAAAATAAAAAGTGAAACACATCGAGATTATGCTGCAGTAATAAAAAGGAGATAGTCTTGCTTTTTTTCTTTTTTTTCCCCTACATTCTTAAGTATTTTGTTTATGTAAGTAGAAGTGTGATTTTGGCTTCTAGTTAATATTGTGAAGTTAGCTCCTGTTCAGAAAAAAGGTCATGGACCTAAGTCTACCGTTCTTGCTTAACTTTTGACCTTTTACTTAAGTCTCACTTGCTTAAAAAAAGTGCAGTGGAAGCATTAGCAAGGGGAGCGCCCAGGTTATGGGGAAAAAAATGAAACAAGACCTATGTTTACAGTCGTGTAAGGCATAGGAAAAACTAGGATTTTTCTGCTTATAAAGTAAAAATACCTAGGCTTAAGTTTTACCCATATCTAATTCTGCTCTACAGTAAAGATCCCATCTTTAAAACTACCTGCAATCCTTTTTAGGGGGGTTTTCCCACCAGAGGGCTCTTGGCTAGACTGCTTATGAGCAAGGATTAAGTTAGACTTGCGGAAGCCCTGGGGAGACTATCGCTTCATAAATTGTACAGTTCTGACATTGCAGGTGAATTCAGCTCCTTGTAATAGCTGCTGTGCTATATGTAAGTACCCTAAAATTACCTATTAAAACCTATTATTTGTGTCACAGTTTTCATTTAATGTTTACTCCCTACAATGATTGTCCCCTTTAGAACACTCCATGATAACTTACACGTGATAAAATTTGAGAAAGTCATTCCAAATTTGGAGCTTCAGTATTTTTTCTTACAGCCCGTAATCACAAGGAGTACTAGATGTCTTCAATTAGTGATTTCAGATTACATCTAAAAAGTGGTATGGATTAGGCCCTTACTTTAGGGCTATGCTATCAAAAGACCCATCTGTTAAAATTACAAGTATTCTCAAATTGTGGAATATGTTTTCTCTCCAATGACTTTCTTAAATCAGTGACTTCACTACAAGATGATGTATTATAATAAACCATGGAAGCAAGATAAAAAATAAAGTGGAGGCAGCACTTGTAGTGCACTTTTTTTAAATTTTGCCCACGTTACAAGACTTGATAGACTACTTGACACTAATAGGTGATCAGTCTCCCCTATGTTCTTTATAGTGTAGTCACTTCACTATACAGTCCTAGACTTTCATGCATTTGTGACAGTTTTTCCCTCAATCTGTGAGGTTCCCAGTAATCTACTCATGAAAAAACAAATGAACTGTGCAAGATTAAGAGGTAATTTTTGAAAGAAAAGAACAAAATAACCTTCAGATATCTTCTTCCCCACCACGTCCTGTTAAGCAAAATGCAATTGAGCTTAAAGGCTGAGATGCTTCACTAGTGAGAAAGCATCCAAATCAATCGCCTGGATTCACCCTTCCTGGCATCAGTTTTACAAACAGCATTTTTGAAACAGTTTTAATATCAAAACATGTATGATTAGGATGCAGCATGGCACTGAAGTGGGGCAGCAGTAATGTTTGAAGGGAAAAAAAAAAAAAAAAAAAGCAAAAACCAACCCCACATAGATCCAAACTATCATGGTCAGGATATTCCTCTGCAAAGTGGGGAAGCAAGGCTTAAATCCCTGTTCTGATCAGAAAATAACTTTGAAAAGCAGCGTGCTTTAAATCTCAAATTATTGCCAATTTAAGGGCACATGTGCACTATCCATATCAAAATATATATTTATTTTTTTTAATCTTAGTGAGGATTGGAATCCTGTCTCTGGTCTGCAGTAGAGTCACACACTTAGGATTTCTCAAATACAGTTTAGGATAGGAATATAAAATATTTATTTGTGTACATGCCAGGGTGTTCATTTAAGTAAGATCCTTACAATATCCCAGCAACAAGTTCAGATATTTTTGACTGATAGTTTATTTTGCCTTTTGGAAACCTTGCGCGCAGCTAGGCCAGGAAGGCTCTGCTATGTTACCTAGGTGCATGCACGGAGTTCTTAACTGCACAGCAGGGTGAGACAATAAAATTTAAATGTCATTATACTAATACTTCAGACAAACTTCCACCAAGAATCATGTTACATTTTGGGTAGGGAACAATATAGTTAGTGGGGGGGGGAGGGCGGGAGGAGACTATGAACGAAGGTCTCACTGCCGCTCGCTGCCCAGATCTCTGGGGAGAGAGCAAGAGGACCTATTCCTAGGAGATTTCCTCCTTCAATGAGGAGGTACAGCCCCAGGTGGCAGTGGGGATATAATTGCTTTCCCAGCCCTGCAGATCCTCAGTGCCCCATGCATACAGCTGTGGACAGCGGTGCTGTTAGCGTTCATCAGGCTTCTCACTACCTCAAGAGAGTGAATCCCTGTGGGTCGTACTGCCACCACAGAAGATAGGCAGAAAGGAAGGGTGGCATGGAAGCACAGGTTGAGCAAGGACACACAACACAAGGCCGTAAGATAAGCAGGATGGGCATTTTGGTAGTAGTTAGTTTTTATTTATGGTTTCATGTTTATAAAATGATGATATTGCTGTCTTACTGATATATCATTCACCACTACCACGAATATTTATGTTAAAGTCAGCTTCAAGCCTGATACAACACTGAAGCTACTTAGTCAAGGCAAAATACTTTAACGCTGACATTTCCCTGAAATAGCAGCAAACAGGGGTAAGTTCAGAGGTAATTGTAAACTTCAACTGTTTTTGCAGTTCGCAAAACCAGCAAAACACAGTGCACAGTTTCTCATTGTGATTTTCTGTACTCTTCTAGTAAGTGGGTGTTTTTTTCCACATTACTGTCCTGTAGGGTACAATTACGTTACGCAGACTCCTAACAACAAATAGTGGTTACGTTTGCTGTCGCTCAGTTTGTATTGTTAAGCAAACTTACTCATTGCCATAGAAACCTTTTCCCCCTTAACAAACCAGTTGTGTTTTGTTGGGTTTTTTCCTCTTTTCTCCAGAAAGTAGTGTGGACAGAGAATCACACTTTACTCACAAAAAAAATCAAGTGATATGACAAGTAATTTGCTTTGATTTCAGTTACTCATTCTGCATTCTAAAAAGGTAACCTTATTTTGAAAGCATCTTAGCAGACTATAGCTATTAGTTTCCCCCTCTGCCCCCCAAACAGCATGGTTTCAACAGCAGTCATACTTTCACTGGCAATGCCAGCTCTCAGCTCTGTGCTAGTCTATCTATTCTTTTGAAGTGGATTACTTTTGCCAGTGATACACGTAGTACAGTTTGGACACATCTAGTTCAGATAATTATTTTAACTTCCTCCATCTGAATTTCATTGCCAGTTAAGAGGAAAAGGAGAACATACTCCTCGTCAGATTTCTGTATATAGTTTTCCATCGTCTGACACTCAAAACCAAACGAGCTAGTAGTACCTGTCTGCTTTAAGTGAGGGTTATGAAATCCCCATCACCACCATGCCTGCATATATTTTCCTATCAACATGGGGATATGTCCCCACAGAAGGGACTTTTTCAAAAAACTAACATGTTTCCCACAGACAGCTGAAGTTAACCCATATTCCACACAGTTACAGGAAAGGAAGGAACCCATTTTTGTACTGCTTAGGGCTGCTCTTGGCCACAGCACATCAAATAGCGTGGCCATCTACAAAGGATGCAAGAAAAAACTACTTCCCTGAATGTTTTTAATAAAATGCTTTTGACCAACATTCTACAGTCCCGACTGTGGAATTCAGCACTCACAAACTGACCCCCCACACACACACACACACAGTCTAATATCATGGCTAAATACTAAAATCTAGTTTTAGAAAGAAAAACAATAGATAATTCTGTCATCGTTAATATAGCAGTGGTATATACACAAACTTAACTGCAGGAGGAATCCACATCTGATGTTGTCAATAGACAAAATAAATTACCATTTATTTTAAAATAATACACTAGTAAGAAACAATTTTGTAGCCTTTAATGAGTAAAACAGATCATCATTTTTCTGTGCTTCTTTAAAAGACGACGTAAATCTAACCCTATAGAGATCTCACAGACTTCTTTGCACAGAACTGTGTAAGGGAGTGTAACTAATTCACACCAAAATTAAATATTTTCTCAGAGCTTTTATCTGTGAAGACAGTGAAAGACTATCCAGATTCTTAAAGAGATGGTAATGAAATTTATGCTAACAGTGTTTGTTGAGGTGCTGGATATATCAAGTTTAGTTGTGCAAAACGAAGGTTCATCTCTCAGCTTTTTCTTCTCCTTGAGTTCAATTTAAATGCAGTAACTTTACCACAATCGTCCTTCCAAGGGTGTATAATAGAAATTAGCAACGCTCAAGCCCTTAGAAATAAAACTAACGAAACAGAGAAAAGGGACCTGATTAAAATTAGTTTGAATTTGGCATTATTTCCGATTTTAATTTTCACTGCACTAATGTTGTGAGGTCAAGAGACTATGTTGTATTCTTTCTGCCATCTTTTAGTCAGCAGTCTTTAGAAGCCCATGCCAAGTCTGTTTACTACTTCAAATTTAACTGCAACAAAATTGTTCCCCAGAAAGGCCTCAGCATCAGCAACAGAATACATGATGAAACCACATAATTACTAGTTTGATTGAAGATTTCATGAATAAAACAGCACTTTTAATTTGGAGGGGGTGTCTTTCTATGAACAACGTGAGAAATGGGTAAGACTGAAAACAGGAAAAACTAAATGTAAGCTTTCTAAGGTGGTTTTACCAAAAGAAAATAGAAATCCATTCATTTGTGAGTATCTCTCTAAATCCTGCTTGGATTTTCTTTCCTTATGTCAACAGGGGTGCGTGTGGGGTGTTGCTTATAGATTGCCAGCCGGACAAGAATGTGAAGTAAAGGCGTATCTGGACTTCAGAGAGAAAGGAGGCTACAGGACTACAACTGTCATTTTCTATCCAAAAGACACATCAGTAAAGCCATATGATGTATTGTTATATATTGGATCTTGTGATAACCCTAATTACCTTGGTCCAGCACCTCTAGAAGAAATTGCTGAACAGATTTTTAATGCAGTTGGTCCTAGTGGAAGAAACACAGAATACCTGTTTGAACTTGCTAATTCTATCAGAAATCTTGTACCAGAAGATGTAGATGAGCATCTCTTCTCCTTAGAGAAACTAGTGAAAGAACTCTTGGAAAAACATCAAAACCTAAATTGCATATAAAAATCATTTCTCAGTTTTAATGATCTTGTTTCATCTTAAAAAGAATGGTTTTGTTGCACAACGGGTATATGACTTGGAAGCATGTTTAGCCGTACTATGCTATCTTATTTATTGTAATAGTGCATTGAAAACACAGTAGTTAAGACTCATTAGAACAAATCATTATAAAAATCATTCTTTCAAGAGTCTGCAGAAAAGGGGAACAGGGGAAGTGTTTTACGTTTGAATTTGGTATATTAGTTTCTTATCCAAAAATCACATCTTTCTTTATAAAAATCTCAAGGGAATCACTTAAGCCTCCCTTTGTTTTAAGATTTTCTTTTTAATTTCAGGTTCAGATTAAAAAAAAAAATTTTTAAATTATTTTTAAGATCAAAGCCTGCATTCAGATACAACTGCCACTAATTTAAGTGACAGTTCTTTCTGATTCAAGAATATAGGATTGGAGCTCAGTGCAGCTAAAAAGATAAATGTTAACTATTTATTGTGAATGGCACAGTAAATGCAGCACTTACCATATCAAGATTCGACTTCATTGAAATTAAGTTAGTCCACTGAATTAGTGATCTTACCCTTTACATGTTAGTTTGTCCTTAGAAGCAGAGGACAAACAGTTCTGTTGTCAAGGAAATAATTATTTCCCTTGGCTAATTATGTCAAGCCCCTGAAAACCAAAGCACAAGGTACTTTGATGCAAATAAGCCATACCATATGGGTGCCTCATTTTAATATTAATATAAAGAATAAAGCTAAAATGTCAAAATAACTAAGGATATGACTTGAATCGACAATACAGCACAAACGTTCTGAAATTCCCATCTTTGCTATTTGCCTTTAGATGCTGTTGTAACCCCTTCTTTAAAATAAATAAATAAAAAGGTCAACCAATCTTTGAGGACAGATTTTAAGTCAGAATTTTCAGTCATCTTTTCAGGGATTCAGAGGCAAAAAGGTAATTAAGAAAGGAACCGTGTTTTCAGTAAACTTACATGTGTTGTACGGACATCCAACGAAAGAAGGTTGGAAAGACACCAGTTTAGGCTAGTATGTTTATGTCATGCAAAACTTAGGTAAATGGGGTTTCAATCCCAACAAAAGCTGTTTGTAAAGGTTATTTTAACCTTTAACAAGCCCTGTTTATTTGTACGGTAATATAGAAAAAGTTCTATTTCAAATACCACATAGCGTCACATTTTCTGATACAGAAAAAATATATATGTTCAGTTGTAGCTTGCAAGCCTGTATTTTGCATCAGTAATTGCAAAAACCATATACGTTTACTACCTAGGTTGTCTCTTTTTCATCTTTATGTTTTCCTGTTTTATATTTGTAATTACTTGAAAGCATCAGTGTTACAAAAATAACAAGCTGCTATGATTTTACTTGGCCACCTAAATTGGCCAACAGAACATGAATGAATGTTAAAAGGAAACATTTGAAAAGGCCACCTAGATGAGTGGATTGTAGGATATTATAATTTAAATCTAAATTATAGGTAACTGGACTACTTTAAAAGTTTAACAAAAAAATTTTTTTTCCAGACTGTTGTAATAATTTTAATTTTAGGGCACTTCTGTCACCACTCAAGCATACATTCATTGAGGAATGAAAACTGCCTAGTTGCTTTAGAAGCTACTTATTAAGATTAATGGTTTAATGCCACTATTTTAAGAATGCATGATAGGGTATCATTTGATGACCTAGTCTAAACTGCAGAAGCAAATCTATTCGTATTAGTGAAATGATCATATGTACTGAGGCCCCATATTTCCCTTAGTACACATAAGTTACTTGCAATGGAATAATGGAATATCCTTTTTCGTTTCAAGGGCCTTGCTTCTCTACTGCGCTGTGTTGGTTTAAAATGGATATAACTGACTGGAAAAGCAACCCCAACAAAGTCAGCTGTATAGCAGCACAGAAGTATGATCAGAATATTCATGTTTCTATACATAACATCAGTCATTAAGAAGCCTGAAGATGGAATTATTTGAGTGACTTCACACACCAAAGATTTACAGTGATAGCCAACACCCAAATAAACATTAATATGAGCATGTTCCATTACACATATTTATTCCCCTTGACTTAAAGGGGAACTCTTAAATGTTTATCGGATACTTAACTGTTACAAAAAAAATATTATGATTTATTTCAAGAATATTTAAATGTTGCAAAGAAATGCTAACCCTCCCCTCCCCCCCAAAAAAACCTGCACCTACTTTCTTCTGCTTACCTCAAATTTCAGTAAGCTGCAGTAAAGTTGAATCCTGTCAGATGGACATATCCAGTCTATACATTATTTTTTAATTTTTTCCTCAAAGGTTTATCCTGTTCCTTAAGAGAAGGCAGCGGATGCATAAATTCACTATTGATGCAAAAAAAACATCAGTGATGATTCTCTCTTTAAAACTATATTTGAGCTCTAACTTTTGCATCTTTAATCATATTCAGAACGTTGTTGGTTTATTTCATTCCAGATTCATACAATTTGCAATATCTGTAACAATACATTCCAGTCTGTGCATAGAACTTCAATACAATAAAAATGCATCACGTTTATTAATGGTGTTGGAAAGAAAAATTTCCAGAAGTTTCATGCTTATTTAAAGACTACTGACAACAGGAGGGATGTCAATGGGTATCTTAATTGCATCTTGTTATAAAATGCTACTAGATCTAATGTTGAAAAATTAAACATAAAAACTAGTTACTATTATGCAGTCTTAAACTGTGTCACATTAGCAACACAGTTAACTAAAGCACTGGAACTATACGCTTGTTTTTGCTGTATGGGATTTGAGCTGTGACTCTTCTCATAGCTTCAGTCACCAACAAAAGCCTAGTATGCTTTCACATCCACTACTTGCCACAAGAAATTGTTAAGTATGTATGTATGTATGTATGTATACATACACACACACACACACACATATGCTTTTTTTCCTTACTGGTTAGAACTGTATCTAAATCTGTGACAAAACTATATATTTTAGATATGGTTTGCACAATATATACACACAGACTAAACTACCTCTAAACTTGTTTCCAAACTGTCTCTGAGGAAACAAGTGTCATCCATGTTGTCAGATTTTACTCCCTGGGAGTAAAAGGTTCAGGTCACTAGGTAGTCAACATGGCCCTCTCTCCTTCTGTGCATGAAGGATGCAGTATTTATTAGTACGCTGCAATGGTCTTACCCGATATGACTGCACAGTACGGCTTTCAAGTCCATTTGTAGGAAAAGGAACTTGCCCAGCAGTTGGTCAAGAGCTAATCTCCCCATGATGCTGGGAACTATCTATGTACAATCTTCCACACAGAAAGGGATTATCATTGAGCATTACATAGCTATATACATGTAAACTCTTTTGGAATGTCCCAAATAAAAAGTCCTATATGAATTTAACTTGCAGAGTAAAACTTAAGATTTGTACAAAGACTGCAATAAGACAGTTTGATTTTATTTGTGCTACCAAGTGTATAAAAATCAAAAAGCAGGCATTAAAAAATATACTTCTGTAATATCTGATATTCCTGTATATGATCACTTAACCATTTGATGTCAAGATTGTTACTAAACACATAATCATCTTCTGTGACTAAATCTGTAACCTGAATATGCAACATTTTACTTATTTATGGAAAGTTAGACAGTAAGAAAAGAATAAGTACACACACTTCACACTCCTTTTGACTGCCACTGACTGTAAACTGACCTGTCTTCTGAATCAACCATAAAACTTTCGCAAACAAATTCACACTTCTTATTGTGAGAAAACTCAGGGAGAAGGGAAATCAAAACATTCTTTAATTACTGGAGTCTCTGTAGAATCCCCAATAATAATTTCTGTCTTTCCTTCTTCAACCATTTCTCTGCTACGTATTTCCCATAGATGAGCAAAGAACAAAGATCAGATGGGACTGGCCTACCCTGTTCTAATTTGGGAACTCGATGTTGAACCATTCAGTTATTCAGGTAGCTAATGTTGCCATACCAGTCATTTCCATCATCTTCAAGGAAGAAGCAATAGGACACAGAGAAGTACATTATGGACCACAATGAACAGGAATGTAACCACATAGAATAGAGCTGTACTGAAGAGAGTAATCAGGCTTCTCTGTGACTCATTTAAGATCAACTGTTTGGGGCACATAGACAAAAACATCCCATTGCATTTAATAAAAGCTATCTATATACACATAGAACCCTTAAAGGTTTTTTTTTTTTTAAATACACATAAACACTTTTTTTCCTTGTTAATTGATTCATTGTTTAACAGCTTTGTGAATGAAAGTGAATTACTTTCTGACGGAATGTGAATTACTGAAGTCTGGAGGATCACAAATCTCTTCAAAATAAAACGAGGAATAAACCACTGCCACGTCCCCACTAAGCAGATGGGAGAACTGCTAATGATTTCCTTATCTTTGTATCACTCCATCTTTCTCCCCACTTTTATCGTCTCAAATTTCTTTTTTCACAACAGTACATAAAAGACCAGACTCTTTCTAGACTATACTGTTTTCTAGAAACTAAGAATCGATGAAAAGCTTTCACAGAGATGACTAAAGCTCAGTTTAGTCACTCAGAAGAATGCAGTGTTCAGTACTCCTTAAAAACACAGTGCTCCCCTAAACTAAAGAAAGAAAAAAAAAAAAAGAAAGAAAGAAATCACTTTAACACACTCAGTAAAACAGTTTTCACCACCAACGGAAGAATAACATTGTGTCAGATGCAGTTCTTCAGCAATTGACAAAACAGGGAAAGTATGCAGTATTAAAAGAAGCTCTCCAAATCTGAACATTTCAGACAATTTTGTCAAGCACAGGAGAAAATTTACCTGTTTGCTCAAAATACCATGCACAACTTAACCGCTTACAAGCAAAAAAAAGTACTTTAGACACCACTTATCCTTCAAAGCCGGAGCAACACAGTTACAAAGCTGGTTGCAGCATCCTCCATCAATACCAGGAAACTATATTATTTTATATCATTACTTCATAAAAAGTACATCACGTCACCAGTTTAAGTCCGATTTCCTTCCCATCCCTTCTTTCCGGTATGTGTCCGGATACAGGTTCTGCTCATAAACTAGGAGGCAAAAGGAGGTGGGGGAAAAAAAAAAAAAAAAAAAAAAAAAAAAAGCCACAGCTCCCCCATCAGATCTATTTCTGTATGCCTGTTCTGTGTTAACAAAAAAAGCTCTTAGGAGGTGATTTTCCACTCTGTCCAGTCAATCTACTGGCTGGCAGAGGGAATGCTGTGTACACAAACAGACATCAGGATAGCAGGCCACCTTTAGGGTCTCTCAGTTTTAGAGCCGCAAGCTCTAAAGCCCTTTAGTTTTAAGCATCCTTTGTCTTGACTTTTCACTATGCAAGCATATAATTTTCTTAAGATTACAAAAAGAATATTGTTTTTCAAATAATTAGACTTCTCTAACAGTCTTCTGCAGAAGCTGGACATTGACTATACCCTCACTTGGATTACTGACTGCAGTGACAGACCCGAGTATCCCAACTTCAGGTTCCCTCAGTATTCCAGTGCTAAGATCATTTGCTTGCTCCTCCACCAATTTAATCAGGTAATTTCCCTTCAGTTGTTCTCCTCCTTTATATCCTCAAACAAACATCTTGCCTGCATCTTTCTGATCTGTTACAGCTTAGGTCTTGTCTATATATGTATTCTGGTATTCTCCTTTCATTGTAGACGTACCTTAACTGGAAGAAGGTTCTTTTCCTAGCATAGCTTCATCTACTTCAGCACAGGCTTAACAGCAAACAAATTACATCCTTAACCAGCAAATTATGCTAGCAAAACTCAAGAGTATTGACTAAACCCAGGATAGCCATTTAGTAAAGTTTTAAGGTAGCTCAGCTATGTTAAGTCCAGCTGGAAGTTGTACTTCTGATCAGGACAAAAAATCAAAAGAGTTCAAACTATTTAAACAGTCTAAACAAACTCAGCTGCTTTTGTCCAGTGTAAGTATGTAACTACACACATACATCACTCTGCTGACAAAAGAGTGATGACGAATAGCCAGCAACAGAACATCTTAAACCTATCTGTCTGAATTGATGGTGTATCATCCACAGCTGTCTTTACCCACCACCACTGGGAGTCTTCCTGGTATCCTCTCCTTCCTCTGCCTTCATATTCCTAGCCCCCACCACCTAACAGTCCATTTCTCTCATTAAACATGTCAGTGCCCATTCTATCAGTTTATTAAGGATCGCTACACACTGCAAAAACGTTATTTTTATCCTCATATTACATCCCATCACCAATTGCCAACCAGACATGAAATTGCTCCACTTCTCTCCTTCCTCCAGAGTCTCCACTTCATTCCAGCTGAGTCTCAACTCACTTTTATCGCCAATTAAAAATGAATTCTAAAATGCTTCTTTATATTTACTGGTATATTAAATTCTGATCCTTAACTCTTTGCATCTTCCAGGCCTCATCTATTCCACAGAAGTGCTGCTGGCACAATTCTATCAGTTAAAAACTTGGGGAAAAAAAGGGGAAAACATAACACTAGCCAGTCTAGTCAGTACACAGGTACATTAATACTCCCACAGTACAGTTTGCTGACATAAAAAAATACGCCGTGACCATCAGTTATGCCATTCAGGAAAGGCACACGCATCACGCTGTGGAAAAGTTTTATCTTGCCATACAGTACATACAGTGTGGAGTCCCGTCAACATAGTATACCCACTGCTGCTCCATAAACTTTTAAGCCCTCTAGAACAAGGACTGACAGTTAGGTAAATATTTAGAGCACTAGAATTGTACAACTGGGTTAAACTATCAGATAATTATCTAGTACTAATACCAGTGAGACAGAAAATAAAGCAGTATATTGACTCTTTGTCCCACGTCCACGCAATAAACAGAAAATCCTAAGTGTTAAAGTAAGAACTAAAGTTGCCTAATTGCGGTCATTCCAGAATTAATTATAATCCCTTATAAAATGTTCTCAAACATTCAGTTTCCAGTCTTGTTTTGTCTGTAACAGCATGCTTATAAAAGAGGTAATAATTTTGCTGAAAAAGATGCAACAGGAGAGGGTCTCTTTTTTGGTCACTTTCACAAGCTTAGATTGAGAGGCGCTGCAGCAGAAGCATGAGCTACAGACGAACTCCTGCTTCTTTGAGGAGAATAGCCAATATCCAGAAAGGATGAACTAAAATGAGAAACAGACAAACTCCTGCTTGTTTGAAGAGAATAGCCAATATCCAGAAAGGATTAACTAAAGTGAGAAACACTCCAGATGTTTATTGTTTTCTTAAAAGTCTGGATTGAGGTATTTTTAAATAAATTAAAGACAACTGTACTCAAATCTTTGTCTATATTTTCAGGGTGTGTTTTTATAAATGTTTCAGAGCTCTCTTCTGGAAGTCTCTTCTCCCCCCGCCTCCCCCCGCCCCGTCAGGCTCCTGAATGTCATTTAAAATCTCTTTGTGAGTCTTAAAGACAGACCATGCTGGTTACAAATCTAGGCCTTTCGAATCGTACCACCTCCACTGTAAACCAGGATGTCAGCACTGGCTGTATACAAGAAGGATGTGTTTGAAGCCCAAATTCAGGTGCAATACCTAAACTCTTCTGAAATTCAATAAGCCACAGGATTTCCCCAGCTCTGCATCCCTTCTCCAATCATGGCAAAAGCCAATGCACTAGGAAGAAATTCGGAACAAGCACTATTCACTACTACAAGATGTAGTTTAAGTCTACGCAGCCTACTGAGTCAGAATGTAGTCTTAGTTTGTCATAACTCCTTCCATCTTCAATTGCCACCTAATGCTTTTCTTGGAGTAATTTTTTAACATCCACATCCTGTGACAAGAAATTCTACAGCTTAATTAGATGTTACTTGAAGAATTTTTGTGACGTGTAATACAAAAACAGGAAGCTACTAAATGAAGCTAGCACAAGAAACAGCAGCCATTCTCTCTTCGTCGTCTCTGTGACGCTCCTGACCTTGTAGACCTGTCTCATATCCTCCCATTCCTTGTTTCCCAAACTGAAGAATCTTAGTCTACTTACTCATTGTTTATAGACAAGCTATTCCATACCTTTGCTCATGCACGTAACACCGCACATGGTCTGCGTCTATTACATCCTTAATTTTTCTTGGTGAGAGGGACCAGACCATCCCACAGTATTCAAAACAGAGCTTTCAGGGGCATAGTATTTTCTTTTTGGTTTTCTATTCCTTTTCTGATCACTGTTAACTTTGTCTTTGCTTTTTTTGACCACTATTGAGCACTGAAGCTAACATTTTCATACATCCTTTTTATCCTCAAGATCTCATTCCTCAGTGACCATGATGAGTTCACTGTAGACATGCAGTTAGAATTGCTTCCTGTCCAATGTGCTTTACTTTAATCTATGAAAAATTTCACCTGTTATTTTATCATCCAGCCAAAGAATCAAAGTCTTCCTGCAATTCTTTGCAGTCAAATTTAATACACGATGCTGAGTAACTTAATATTATTTTCCAGTCTTTTTCAACTCACTATATACCTCAGAAAAGCACTGCCTCCAGCACAAATCCCTATACAGTATTCTACTACTGAACATACTCCAGCATAGAAGTTCACTTCGCACAGGCCCCCTTTGCAGCAGTTCAAGGGCAAGCTGCGCTAGACTGTGGTGCTAAGTATATGAACATGCCAACTGTATAACTGTCCTGTAAAATACATATTTCTACTGAATAAATTTGCAAAGTGACTATTTCATTTTACCAGAGCTACACAATTCTCAAAAATGTGTTATTTTTAGATCTAAGGAGGCACGAGAAACAGCTGGCTCACAATACAAGAGATACATGCTCAAAAACATTCAAATACATAAAGACACACTGAAAGTATATCTGCTAAAGTCTAGAGCAAACGACCCTTCTGCTTTCCTCCTGCCCAGCCTGGAATTTAGCTGCCTGCACTCAAGGCCAGCTCTCTGATAAGAGAAGGCGATTTGAGAAGAGACAGTCTTGGAGCTCCGTGAGAAAAAGCATGAAGAATCCTCAACAGAGGCTTCCTCCAAAGAGCTCCGCTAAGCTTCAGCAGCTTTCCCCCACCTTTCACTTCGAAGTGATTTTTAAATTGAAGTTCCCACCCGTAGCCCTTCCTGAACTGCAACACAGCTGTGCCTGCCTGTGCCTGGACACGTAGCCTGCTGATCCGCACCCCAATCTGCGGATGCAATTTCCCAGCTTGACCTGGAACCTGCCTCTTCACCATGGACATTCCTGGCGATCCCAAGCACCCACCCTTGGCTGACCCAGGCTACCAGTCCCAGGCCATCCCCTGCTCACCTCCCTCAGGCACTGTGGGACAGGGCCACTGCCTCAACCAGCCTTGCTATCACACCTAGCTCCTTGTCCCCAGGGAGCAGCCAGCCTCTGCTGCTCCCCAGCAACAACCCCTATAGTTACAACTTATTGTATTATTATTTTTCAGGGAAACATTTTTCCCTTATTTGTAAAGTTTAAGCATACTTATTCTGTTGCAGTACTTCTACAGTCCTCATTGTAGAAAAACAGATCCCAGTACACAGATGTACTTACTTACATTGACACAAATCACATATCAACTTTACAAATTGTTTTGCAAGTGTAAAAAATAGTTTTGAGAATAAGACCCGGTAGTTTTTCCACCAACTTGTATTAATACTGAATAAAATCATATTGTAGAAAAAAAAAAAATCAAATTCTGGGCTTCCGATATTTTAGATTTTTCAAAACAAGAAAAGGTTACAAACAGACCAGGGCTTAAAAGCATCCAAACTTTTCTATTGATTGTGTAAGTGAATCACAACACACAGTCCGTACCTGCTTCGTCACTGCTTAATCTTCAGCAATCAAAGCACTTCATTTTCAAGAGTCACAAGTAAGCACTCTATAAAAGCACAGCAGAATAAGCGTTAGATAGTCTAACAGCTATTTACATTAAAGCATTCATTTCATAAAGATTTATTTGAAAAGAGAAAAAAAGCACAAGGAATCGGAAGGATATATATTCCTCGTACACTTGAAGAAATTAAACAGAACAACTAACAAAAAAAAAAAAATCCCACAGACAGAACAGGACAGGACAGGACAGAACAGACAGACCAGACAGCTACAGAGGTACAGAATAATAGCAACTGATTTCTAGAAGTAGTGGGGGGGGAGGGGGGAACAGGCTCTGAAAACAGATGCCTAATTTTTTTTTTCTTTTATGAGTTAGCATATAAATTGATAAAATTTCAAGGGCAGGAGGTATCTAAAAACACATCTAGATTTTATCATTGCTTCTAACAAGCCCAGGTAAATAGCAATCTCAGCATCACAGTAGGGTCAATCAGTCAAATAGAGCTTCACGGTATTTTGTCTCTAGTATTTATTTGTTGGAAGACAGCTTAAATATTCCTATACTAAAATGCCACTTTCCCCTCTCCAGCGAGCCTGATTTCATTGCAAATACAAACGACAACACCAGTGCAAAAGCACATATAACCAAGTTATAAATCTAAGACAAGCTTAGCTTTCCAGCAATTCTCTCCTTTTGGCAGCTTGCTATTCCTAGCCGGATAAAAGTACTCATTTCCGTAAAATCTACTAAGCTCCTCTGTAAGCAGAGCTGCGGCGCCTGCACTAGAAGGCAGCTTTCAGGTCAGTACTGCCGGCGCAGGCTAGGCACGAAGCCACAGGCCGGGAAGCGTCGCCCTGCTGCGCACACGTTTGCTGCAAGCCCAGGCTGCAGCAGCTGCCAGCCAGGACGCGGCCAGGCGCCGTGCGGGGACGGGCGGGGGGGCGGGGGGGAC